TTCCTTTGGGAGGGTCATCAAGTTTTTGACACCTTGCTAGGCGACTGGTGGTACTCGGATGTTGCCATAGCCTAAAAGTGGTACAATGGGTGAAAAGGTTGAAAAGTCCTGATCTAGTGGATTTACTGCTTTTTAAAATTTCCACCATCTGGACCATTCCTAACACCCTATGAAGAGTTGGAAAATCCCTTTTTCTCATTCTTTCTTCCAAGTATTCAGTTCCAAAAGGCTATGCTCAAATGATTTAATAAAAAGAAATAGAATTTAGGAACACCCCCACTGTATATCTTTAATTTTGCTAATGTAACACATAGAAATGCTGCAGCAGTGATGATCAGACAGGGTGTCCACTGAAATAAATTCCAAAAGAGTCACCATGTTAGTTTGCTGCTGCTCAACTATGAATTATGGCACCTTAAGGACTAATAATGTGACCCTAAGTAAGCATATAATTGCAATCATTTTAATAGATATACAGGTAGTCCTTGATTTACAACCACAATTGAGCCCAAAATTTCCATTGCTAAGTAAGACAGATGTTAAGTGAATTTTGTCCCATTTTACAATCTTTCTTACCACAGTTGTTAAATGAATCACTACAGTTGTTAAGCTAGTACAGCTATTAAGTGAATCTGGCTCTCCCATTGATTTTATTTGTCAGAAGATCACAAAAGATGATCACATGACTCCAAGACATTGCAACTGTCATAAATACATGCCAATTGCCATGGGATCACCGGTGGGATTGAGCCGGTTCACACCACTTCGGCAGAAATGGTAGCTAATTTTTTTGTGGCCCAGGCCCAGAACGGACTTCCGGAAGTGGCATCCACACAGAGAACCGGTTGTTCACATATTTGAATCCCACTACTGCACGGGATGCTGTAAAGATTGTGTGAAAAATGGTTGTATGTCACAAGTTTTTTAGTGCTATTGTAACTTTGAATGGTCACTAAACAAATGGTTGTAAGTTGAGGGCTACCTGTATAGTGTTTTGTCCTGAGAAAACATATTATGTAACATTCAAAGAAAGAAACCTATAAAGCCATTATCGATAAACTTGATCAGTTTTCTAGTTATTGAAACAATTACCTTTAGGTGTTATACCCAGTGTATGTGTGTTTATGTTTCTTTATGTATGCAAACAAAACACATAGACATACCATGTTTCCCTGAAAATAAGACCAGGTCCTTTTTTTTTGCCCCCAAAAGAGTCACCAGGTTTTATTATATTATGTCTTTTATACTCACCTCCAGCACCGACAGCCCCACCCAGCTGGTCCACTTCTTCTGGGGCTGAAGGAATAGCTTCATTCTGTAGCTGCATTCCTGCCTGCATTTTGCAATCAGGCAAAAGACCTCACAGAAGAAGTGGGCCAGCAAGGACCTGGCTGCCAGGTAAGTGGGTGTGGGACTCTATCCCCGCCCTAGCTTGATTTTTAAGTGTGTGCCTCACCCCAAAACGAGGGCTTATTTTGGGGGTAGCACTTATATTAGGCCCACCCCCAAAAAAAAATCAAGCTAGGGCTTATTTTGGGGGTAGGCCTTACTTTTGGGAAAACACTGTATCTACTATTTCATAACATCTTATATATGTGGGGTGGAGTGTCAACATCCAGCTCGAGAATCCAAATAAAACTCCAGGTTCATTCCATTTCCGAAAATCTTATTGTTTATTGAACACACGGCATGGTAATGTCAAAGCAAAACTAACTTTGAGGTTCCCAGACACCAGTTCCTAGAATTAAACAATAATTTCTCTGGCCAAACCCCCACCCTCTCACATAGTCCATAACAGTCACGTAGCTGCCAAAGTTTCATTCACAACATGGGTGTTCCTTAACAAAAGTATGCTTCATTAGGATTGGTATGCCATAGGAAGAATCAGATGAGGCAGTTCTCAAATTTGATGAAACTTCAGCTCACTTTCCCATCTCATTCAATCAAAGAAAAACTTCTAGTAAGTTTCAGAGGTGAAAGGAACCTGAGACAGCCAACTTTTCTATAAAAAGCATAGTGATATTCCTGCAGATTCCCCATTATGTATTAATCATTATAACTGGACCATTCAGCTGGCTATCTGTCTAAAGCAGGACTAGAGGTCCCAGTTTCTAGTCTGTTGTGTTAACTATTGCACCAAACTCGCTCTTAAAACATGCAAACAGAAGGTGAGAAAAGAGAAGAGATAGCAAAAAGTCTATCTTGTAATTAAAACTTGTGCCGGTTTGTTAAGAATTGGGTTTTCTACTGTAAAAAAAAATTCCTGTCAGGAGTTTTCTTGAAAAATGGACAAACCTTTTCTGTCTTTTGCACTGTGCACTCAAAAGAAAGGTGGATTAAGTGCTTGGATTAAGTGACTGCACAGTTATGAGCTGGATTGGGAAGCAATTCTAGGGTAGCCATGCCCTAGAACAGGGGTAGGCAACCTTGGCTCTTTTATACTTGTGGACTTCAACTCCCAGAATTCCTGATTCAGCAGGATATATCTAGTAGGTTAGAAGGCTATAGCTTTAGTCTGGCAAGTTTCTGTCCATTAGATATCAGTAAATAAAGGATTGAACTCAACTGGATTTTATCTCTGTCTCATTTCTGGGCTTGGCCTGACAGAGGATCACCAGATGGATTCAGGAAGATCTGTAACCAGAAGGAAATCTTCCAAGAAAAAAAATAATCAAAACTGAGTTATTCTGGAACCCAAAAGGCAGAAAATAATATTTTACAGCTCCTGTTCAGGTTGTAAGACAGGTGACTAAATTGAGTGTTGAGTGGATTCCAAGCAAAATACTATAAACTAAAGGAACACTGTTTTAATATTGGTAAGCTAGTCTGAGATTTTTTTTTTTTTTTTTTTTTTTGAGCTAGTATAATAGTAAGAAGGAGTAACCTTGAGGAACAAGAGAAAGAGCCGTTGCCAGTCAGATAAAAGAAGTCCAGGACAAAACAGTAAGCCAAGAAACTATCTCAGATAGGATCCTTTCTAGTTCTCATGAAGATAAAGGAAGATGCATTTGGATTATAAAGTTTTATTACTATAACTTTACAATAAAAATAGTTTTAATATATATTATTTTAATTTCCTAATCTGAGCTGCCTTAAAGGGCTGACAATTACAGATACATTCAAAATAACTAATAATATGTGCATAATTTCCATCTTCCTTCCTTCCTTCCTTCCTTCCTTCCTTCCTTCCTTCCTTCCTTCCTTCCTGCCTTCCTTTTCTGTCATATAAGGATATATGTTATTTTTTAAAATAAAAATACATTATTGGACCTTTTGGCTTTATGTCTGTGCTTCTAGGAAGATATACAGTCACGGTGGTTAAATTTCTGGTTCCATCACACAAATACATTATAGGATATAATTGCTGTGCCTAAAATGGAGGCTGCAAGAGGCTGCAGCCTGCATATTCATTTGCTTTTTTAGCTGCACCACCTGAGATGCAAAAGTATACCTGTACAAGATGCAAACAGAAGAACAACGCCCACATTTTGAACACAATTGTAGTTTAAAAAGTGCTGTGGGTTTCTTTGCTGAACATACCTCTTGACACCGATGATTCTTTCACCGAGGTGTCTTGCCATAGAGAAATACAGAAGAAAATTATTTCAAGAATGAAATCATGCTCTCTCTATCTCTCAATTGAAGCTTTCTCACAGAGCCGTGCTACGCATCATGGGAGAATAGATAGAGAATCACAATGGTCAAAGGTATCATAGGCTAAAGAATAAGACATTTTTACCCTTGACCCTCCTCCGAAAAATTATGCTGACAAAATTCAGTGCCATGTTAATGAAATTTCAGGCCATATAGGGAGGCTGGCCCTGACAAGCTGCTTACGCAGTAGCCTTCTGGTTGGTTAATGTTGGTGGTGCAGCAAAGTTGAGACACTCCAAAGAAGGAAGTGCTATGTTGGGCAACATTGTAGATTCAAACTTTATTTGTTCGAAGATGAAATCTTGAGCACAAGATTCAGGTTATGGAAAACTTGCTCCTTAGAGAACCCATCCTTTTTGTCTTGAACTTCCTTGGAATTTGTATGATGCCTCCTCTTACACTCCTTCCAAAACCTGGAGATTTTTTTAAAAAAAACTGGACAGCCACCTGTCTGAAATGATATAGGGTTGGACTAGAAGACCTCCAAGGTCCCTTCCAGCTCTGTTCTGATCATTATTATAACCTCATGCTGCTTTACTACTAAATTGGCTAGACTTTCATCTATACTATGTATACACATCATGAAATTTATCTGTATTATAGTATACATTATAATTTAGTTATCATAATATATTTAAGGGTGTGATTCGGCTTAGGCCCTACAAGTAGCCTTCTAGTGTGAGGGTTACTTTAATTTGTGAGGCAGAAGTTGAGAAATAGACACAGAAATGGAAGATACAGCTGGACTGAGAACCCTAAGCGTGCGATTTACCATCTTCCCAGAAACCTCAAAAATAATTCATTGAAATCCGTGATAAACAGGAAGTCAAGGAAAAATGAAATCTGGGGTAAGCCAGATCAGGAAGCGCATAGAGGAAAGATTTCAGGAATGTTACTATACTGATATAGGGTACAATTTTGAAAGACTGTTTCCCTCTACCTCCTCAGAGAACACTATCTCTCTCACACCCAGGTTTGAGACATCAAGTGAAATGACCCCAGAAGAGAGGTGGCACCAGCTGCCAAACCACCATGACTCTACGGTAAGAGGCAAAGGAGGGGTGGGAAAACCTCTAGGACAGTGGTTCTCCACCTGTGGGTCGGGACCCCATTTGGGGTCGAACAACCATTTCACGGGGGTCACCAAACAACACAGTCTGCCATTTTTTCCCCCTTTTCCTTAGCTATGCTACTCCCTTTTATTCTATTGGCTTTTGAAAGCCAATAGAATAGACTCTCTTGAATAGAGTCTAATTCTATTGGCTTTCAAAAGCCAATAGGAATTGTCCAGGCTGTCTCTGCCCTGCTGAGCCCACCAAAAATCCCATTCTGCAAACAGTGCTGCACCAGTTGAGTAGTCCTCAACTTACGACCGGTTGAGTAGTCCTCGACTTACGACCGGTTGGGGGTCACGGCATTAAAAAGGTTGCGAACCACTGTTCTAGGAGATGATTTTGGACTCCAGCTTCTTACTTTATGGGTTAGCAGTTATAAGTCACTGGGAGTATTAGATGAAGGAGGAGAACGTCATTGGCTGTAGGAAAAGAGCCATAGAAAGGAAACATGACAAAGTTCCTTCACTGTAATTAGCTTGTTATAAATTTGTTTCAAGATTGTGATATTACCTTGACTAGCAGTAAACCTGTCTTTCTGAAATCTGTGCGGTTCTTGTTTCTTGCGTTTATCCCCTATGGTAAGAAGACAACAAAGAGGCCAATAAAAGAGTATTGAAAAAAGATCTCCAAAAGTAGAAACACAGAGGCTAATAGCAAATGGCTCCCAGCATGTTTATATAGTGTGTTTGCTAAGTATTTAATATACCAATAATACATTTAATAATGCAGTATTATTTCAGTAGACCTGTTCCAAAAAGCCAACTTTTCTTGCTTACAATACATTGTATTCTACTTAATGTCTACGAAAGCATGTGCAACACAAAGTCTTCTCCAACTTCTCCAAGAATAGAAGATAGGTTGGACTCCCAGACAATTGAAGCACAACACAAGTAGAATACCACCACCCTATGATACAACTTTCTTCTTCATCTTGGAGTTGATGAAAGAAGCAAGAATTGCTCCAAAACCTGGACTAGCCTTTGAAAAGCCTTTAACAGCTGCAATAAACTATTTCACTCTAACATGATACTTAAACATAACTGAGTATATTTCAGAGAGAGTTCATATTCATTTAGAAAAATGCTGATTTATGTGTCAAAGTACCATGTAATTTAGTAAGCCGATACAGGGCAACAACACTGCAATACATCCAGAATGGGCTTTCATTGTGATTTTGCACATCATACACAAACTATGCTATAATTGTACTGGTTGTTCATAAACACCTTTCAAAATATAACCCAGAAAGCTTACACTTAAGATAATTAACAGTAATAGGAGTTTGTCAAACTATTCATATGTCTTTGAGAGTAAACACATTTATATATCTTTTGGCAGTACTTATTAAGTAGGTGAAAGTAGATAAATTAGAAGACCCATCCAACAGGCACATGCAACAGACAGAGAATGTACAATAAGCCCAAAGTCAATCTTTCCTCTTCACAGCACTTGCATCTACTGTGATTATGAAACTTCCTTCAGTCCAATACCTTATACATATGCTTGCACCACAACAGATGGCTTCATTGTGGTTGATGTCTTTGGGTCATCCTGTTGAGGTATTCATAGATCCCTTTTTGCTTCTGTTTTCATGCATACATGCAAGAGAATTAAGTGATTTCATAAGGCCAACTCACTTAAGCAATCACTTCACAAAAGAACATAACAGATTACGTTCTTCCATTGACTGTTGTATATCTTCAAGCAACAGCCTTTTTCATTCACAGTATGCATACAGTGATAGAAAGTGGCTATTCTTTGAAGAGATAAGCAAAAAGGATGATGCTTCTTACATATTTGATTATACTATTCTTACTGACATTCCCAACTGCCTTTGATCAAAGTTGTTTCCAAAGCCTATAGTGCAATGGTTCTCAACCTGTGGGTCGGGACCCCATTTGGGGTCGAATGACCATTTCACGGAGGCCGCCAAAACAACGCAGACCGCCATTTTCCCCCCTTTTCCTTAGCTGTGCTATTCCCTTTTATTCTACTGGCTTTTGAAAGCCAATAGAATAGACTCTCTTGAATAGAGTCTAATTCTATTGGCTTTCAAAAGCCAATAGGAATTGTCCAGGCTGTCTCTGCCCTGCTGAGCCCGCCAAAAGTCCCATTCTGCAAACGGTACTGCAAGTTGTCTGCAGCGAAGGTGAGCTGTCTGGAAGTTTCCACCCCTCCCTGCTGAGCAACTACTAAAAATGTAAGTAAAAGAGGGCCAGGGGTGGGAGGTGGGAGGCCGGCAGGCACAGGGAGGGTTGCTGGAGCGCTTGGGGCCCGGCAGGTGCCTTACCTCCCTTGGGCTGGGCCAGCTGGTGGCCCAGCCGGTGGTTGGCCTGTGCCATCTCTGCCGCTTGCCAGCTACGCCTCAGCCGGCGCAGGGGCGGCACCACGCATTCATGGCACTCCCGGGCAGGGAAAGTCCTCGACTTACGACCGGCTGGGTAGTCCTCGACTTACAACCAGTTGGGGGTTGCAGCATTAAAAAGGTTGAGAACCACTGCTATAGTAAGTTTAAGTAGTGATACCAATGATGCTAACTATGGCATCAAATGACATGACTGTTGTTCTCACACCATGCCTGAAAGAGGAAGAACATTTTTACTAATGACACCACATGCACCAATAAAACAAAAGAGCCCATATGTCAGCAATAACAGAATAAATTTCTGCCCTAGAGTATATACATACTAAAATAACTTCTTCATATAGAGTCTGGCAGACCTACTGTTTATCATCTAAGAAGGAGAGAATTCTCTCATGCCCACCCTAAAAGAAACCAGAGGGGTTGATTAAGACCTTCTCTATGGTAGACTTGTCCCTCAGGAAAAGGTTGCTCCATGAGGTTGGATGAGCCTCTATTTTGACAGTGGTTCAAAAGATTATGAAAACAGTTCTCTTTAAGAGCATTTGGAATCATCTGATAGAAGTCAGAGATTTATCTTTAGTTTTTCATAGTTTTGTTTACCATTTATTAATTTTATGGAGGGATGCTACTGATTTATCTCATAAATTGTAAGCCACCTAGAGGTGGAAGAGTAGATAGCATTTTGATCAATGTGAGTTACAAATAAAACAGTTTGATAGTATCAGATTACTTCTAGTAGTCCAGTATAAATGTAGCTGAATTTCATTGTGGAAACAATCCACTGTTATCAAGGATTTTTTTTCCTTTGATGTCCCCCATGCTCCCATCATGCAATGGTTAGAATCAGGTAGAGTGGTCATTACACTTGAGAAAGGCTCATTTCATGGGTATTACACTTTATATGATATATGGAATAAGTCCCCTGATATTCAGAAGAGGTTCTTAGAAGGGGCTGTAGATGTAATTGCAATGTGGAGAAGCAATAAGTATGGTTATAAAACTGATGTTCTGTTCTGGATCCAACACACTGAATTTCTGTAGCATTCTATAGTGTTTCTCTCTTGCCTATGTTTTTTAATGAGTTAGAAAGAATCCAACTTTTCCTCTAAGTACTGGTGTATTACCCCTTCATCAAAGCTTTAAGCTATGTAATTACTTTCTGAGACATGAATCATCTTGGCTCTTAGCTTCCAAACCAGGTTTCCTCTATAAAAGGAGAATGGGATCTCTTTGTTTGCTCTTCTCAAGCCACTCTTCATATATAGGAAGAAATGGAGGTGTTTTGCATCTTCTCCCCAGCTTTACTTTTGATATTTTGTTTGAAATACTCAGCTGCAGCCCCGGCTCTTTTCGCATTGCCAAAAACATCCAACTGGAGTGATTTCTACATTGCCCAGGTTGGTAATGGTTTGCATGCTTTAATGATTTAGGCTGCAATTCTAGGTGTACATTTGGAAGCCTAAGTCCTACTGTATTTTTCAATTGAACTGAGCTTAACTGTTAGCATAACTGAACAGAACCGAATAATAGAGTTGGAAGGGACCTTAGAAGTCTTCTAGTCCAACCCTATGCTCAAGCAGGAGACACTATATGATTTCAGACAAATGATTGTACAATCTCTTCTTAAAAACCTCCAGTGTTGAAGCACCCTCAACTTTGGGCGGCAAGTTATCCACTGATTAATTATCTGTCAGGAAATTTCTCCTTAGTTCTAGGTTGCTTCTCTCTTTGTTCAGTTTCCATCCATAGCTTCTTGTCCTGCCTTCAGGTGCTTTGGAGAATAGCTGGGCTCCCTCTTCTTTGTGGCAGCCCCTGAGATCTTGGAACACTGCTTCATGACACCCCAGTCATTCTTTTCATTAAACTATACATACCCAATTCCTACAACTGTTCTTCATATATTTTAGTCTCCAGTCCCCTGATCATCTGCCTACCATATACCAAAAATAGGTTGTGTAGGTATCAACAGGACTTAATTTCAATGCAGCAGAATTTTCTTCAAATGTTATGATAAACAAGTTTTTGTTTTTAGATTCTGGCCTTAGTAGCCCTTTGAAGAAATTAGGGAAGATGTTTTAACTCTTTTGTATTGCATGACAAACTTTTTTATCCTGCTGTATAAGTGAAACTCTGCCATTTCTATCACAAATATGATACCATTATTACCATTTAGAAGAAGACATGTGGTTTTGTTATCTCCAATTCCCATAAAATTGGGGGAAATAGGCTTTAAATGTCAACAGGGTCTTAAGTCTTAAAGACTTGTACTGGAAATATAACAGAATCTTGCTTTAAATATTAAGCATGCACTTTATGCAACCTGCAACTATATGGATCTTTAGAAATGTTAAGCTACTGGAAATTCAATTTCATAACATTTTAATAACTTTAGGAAAGCAATTTGGAAACTGTTAACCTGCATTAGAGTGACCATAATTCTAAATGTTAGTAAGGAAGAAAAAAATGATATCTTCCTATTTGCATTTTAAGATGCAAAATGTTTATGCTTTGGTTTACAAATATGTAAATCATAGGATTTAGGTCACAATATAATAAGGCATTTATTGCACATTTCATCTGTTTCCCTTGTACACATAGACACCAAACACATATGTCTGCTTGACATAGTGATGATATATATTTCAATAATCTTGCAGCTTCCGGATTAACATCTGTTGGCAACTGATAATCTTGAGAGCTGCAGTCACAACACATCCGGGAAATTCCAGGTTGGAGAAGACTGTCTGATAAATGATAAAATACCCATGTAATGTGCTGAGTCACAATATAGTTGAGTTTTACAAGTTGTGTAAACCAAACCATTGTGGCTGATGTATGATTATAATTTAATGCATACTATAACTCCATTGCATCCTTGATTTGTTTAATACATCATGGTTAAGCAAACTATGTGTGATTTGCTACCTCACTAAATGAACACTGTAAATGCAGAGATTAGAACCATCATTTTAAAAGCAGAAAACTGTCATTTAATTAACTGAATCACACTGGGCTTGAAAAACCTATCCAGTTTAAATAGCTATAGAATATTTAAAGACTTCTTGAAAACATCTTATACAAAAATAATAAGGAGCTTTAAAGTTTCTGAGCCAGAATGATCAACTGAACAATTGAAGATAATATTCAGAGCACCAACTCACATAAACATTATATTGATGATGATGATGATGTCAACTTTTATTATACAGAGAATTTAGTAGCGATTGGAATCTGTTAATATGTACTATCCAACTAGGTTTTAAATTTTATTTCTATCTCATTTTGTAAATTTTGTCTAATATTTAGTTTGAGGATTTCACTCTGGAATTTAGTGTGGTACTTTTGGGTTGTTTTATTGTAACCTGATTGAAGATTATTTTCTTAAAGAAGAGGGGTTAATAAATAAATGAACACAGCACAATCAATTCAGGAATACATTATAGCAGACATAGATCTATACAATATTTAAATGAGGGCTTCCTAATTTTATGCAAAGCTGAACATTTGTTTGTCATCTCCTTCCCCTTACTCCTTTGTGTCTCTGCCTTTAGGAATACCTTGACAAATACTACACACCAAAAGGAAGACACCAAGCTGCAGAAATGATCAGTGGTGGCAATTCCATGACAAGGAAAGTCCAGCAGATGCAAACTTTCTTTGGCTTACAAGTCACCGGGAAGTTGGACCACAGCACTATGGATATAATAAAGAAGCCTCGCTGTGGTGTCCCTGATATAGCAAACTATCGACTTTTCCCAGGAGAACCTAAGTGGAAGAAAAGGACACTGACATACAGGTAATGAATTAACATTCTTCAAATATCTATATTATTTGCTATTCCACCATTTAGATGTCTTCTGTTTTGCCAGTCATCTATACCAGGGGTAGGCAACCTCGGCTCTTTTATGACTCGTGGACTTCAACTCCCAGAATTCCCGAGTCAGCATGGCTCAGCTTGGAAACTCTTCCTTTCCCCTCAGCGTGGCTGGCTCAGGAATTCTGGGAATTGAAATCCACAAGTCATAAAAGAGCCAAGGTTTCCTACCCCTGGTCTATACAATAATGATTGTAGAGGTATATCAACATTTGCCATCTAAGGGAGGTGGGCAAATCTCTCTTTCGCTTATTGGCTGCACAAGTGGCATTTGCCAGTACTTCAGTGATGTAGCATTTTAATATTTCCCCAAAGCTATGACCATCAGGAGTCAAACATCACTAACAAATATACCAACCTATATTTGCAATAGTGGTTAATATCTGTGACTCAGGTGTAGGATAAGGGTGAAGATTTGTTGTCCAAGCTTGTTGGTTGGTTTCTGAATGTTTTGTTATCAGACTAGGTGAAGATGTTATCATAAGGATGTTTCTCACATCTTAAACTTACACCTGAATATATGAACAGCTTCCTTTGAAAAATATAGATTGAGGATGAAGATTCGTTCTACGAGATAGAACGAATCTTAGCTATGCTGGTCCTTAGAGCAAAAAGCCAAAATGGATATCAAGGCAATGTTCTTATTTAGAACATTGAGGTTTTTCTTGAATTCTTCATCAGGCATTATGGTTGCAAAAAAAGAAAGGGCAGAGAAGCAAAAAAGAAAAGAAAACTGAAATAAGTTATAAAAGAAAGAGAGAAATAGTTTGATCATTCAGAAACATTCAAAAACCAACCCACAAGCTCGCAGAACGAATCTTCATCCTCAATCTATATTTTTCAAAGGAAGCTGTTCATATATTCAGGTGTAAGTTTAAGATGTGAGAAACATGATATTTCAGATAAGATACATTCACGTGAAAATATCCCATCTTTCATACCTTACCTTCTATCTTTCAATGTTTTAAAAGTTTATGTTCAGATAACACAGTTGCATTAAAAAAAATCTAGACAAAAATTGAAAAAGAAAAAAGAGGGTTTTTTTCCCCCCTTCATCAAGATCCATTGACAAGCCTACAGGTGGACTGTTTCTCCAATTTATGACTTCTGCATGAAAGCATTTAATCTTTACTAACTCCTGCCTGAATGCATTTGTTTTAGTTGAGTGGGCTTTACATGAATTTTTTTTCTGACCAACACCATCAGAATGACTGATTCAACTAATAACTCACAAATAACTAGAGCGCCATCTACAGGATGCTTAAAACTATCACTGCAAACTATCCTAAACAATTGAACGGCTTTAAACTATAAGCTGCTATTTACAGGGTTTTCCATCTACTAAATTTAAAGTGTTGCCATGCAATAATTTTTTCATAGATTTTTTTTAATCCAATTTCTTTTGAAAATAAACTATGCAGATAATCCTCAACCACAAGTGAGCCCGCAATTTCTATTGCTAAACGAGATAATTGTTAAATGTTGCCCCATTTTATGAACTTTCTTGCCACGCTTGTTAAGTGAATCACTGCCAGTTGTTAAGTTAATAACATAGCTGTTAAGTGAATTGGGTTTCCACACTGACTTTGTCAGAAGGTCGCAAAAGGTGATCACACGGCCCCGGGACACTGCAACTGTCATAAATATGAGTCAGTTGAAAAGCATCTGAATTTTGATCTCATGCCCATGGGGTTGGTGCAATGGTTGTGTGAAAAATGGTGAGAAGTCACTTTTTTCAGTGCTAACGGTCACTAAACTAAGTGTTGTAGTTCAAGGACTATCTGTGTAATTCCTGGTTCCATAGATCAAAATAAGATCAAACTATTTATCTCTTTTTTTTATAACTTATTTCAGTTTTCTTTTCTTTTTTGCTTCTCTGCCCTTTCTTTTTTGTAACCATAATGCCTGATGAAGAATTCTGAAAACCTCAAGAAAAACCTCAATGTTCCAAATAAGAACATTGCCTTGATATCCATTTTGGCTTTTTGCTCTAAGGACCAGCATAGCTATGATTGCTTTATAACTGTTTCACGTATTCTGAGACCTTTTTCCTAACTAGCTACATTATAGTCTCATTCCCATCTTTTCATATGTACATCCAGAATTGTGCTGTCAAGCGCAGAAACTCAGGAGTCCGGGCAGTTCAAATGAACATATAGTTTTATTGCAAATTTGTAGAGACAAGAATCTGAATCTCTAACGGTCAAAGCAAATTGGTGGTAGATAAGAGTCCATGGAATTCAAGGTGGGCTGGACTTAGAACTCTTGTGGGCATGAAGGGACTTGGGTCTAATGACCTATTTAACCCCTCCCTTGGGCTCAGCCTTGTCATATTCTACATGTGCATTCTTCTCCACAGGTTAAAAAAATACACATCTAGCCTAACTCAGGCAGAAGTTGACAAGGCTGTGGAGATGGGTCTGAAAACATGGAGTGCTGCTGCCCCACTGAACTTCATAAGGGCAAAAACAGGGGAAGCAGATATCATGATCTCATTTGAAAATGGAGGTAAGTGCTCTTAGTAATATCCCTCATATTGAATTTCAGATATTTGCCTTTATTCATAATAGGCTAAGTTTATACTGGGGAAGAGCTGACAACATTTTCAAAATAATGCAACTATTAAGTTTATAAGCCCTTTTGGGTTGGAAGACCCCCATATGAGTATGGATGAGGTGAACATGGGGTATCTTTTAGGGAATGCTTTCATATGTTGCAAAAAACATGATGTGCTATATTTCCTGTGAAATTTAAAGTGGTCAATAAATGTCTAGAAGAAGTCAGTTTGGCAAAAGTAAAGGAGAATGCATTTATTCTTCTTAGCCAATAGCTGCTAAGATACAGGACTGATAGAGATACAGAAAAATATAAGTCAAAGAAGGTGAGGGAGAAATTTATCTGGCTCCTATTTTGATAAGAGTCCTATCTAATTTCACACTTTTAAATCAATTTGTAAGGTGATGCTCAGTAGACCTTTGAAATATATAACTTCTACAGATAATCCTTGACTTACAACCACAATTGGAACTGGAATTTCCATTGTAAATTGTTGCAGTTATAAAGCGAGTCATCATGTGGCCAGATTTCATTTTATGATCATTTTACTACTACCATTAAGTAAATCACTGTGGTCGTTAAGTGGATCATAAGGTAAATCCAGCTTCCTAAGTTCAGTTTGCCTGTCAGAAGCCAGCTGGGAAGGCCACAAAGTATGATCACATGACCACAAGATGCTGCAACCACCATAATGCAAGCCAGTTACCAAGTACCCAAATTCTGATCACATGACTTTTGCAATGGTCAAAACTTCAAGGATGGGTTGTAAGTCACTTTGTCCAAGAGCATTATAGTGTCAAATTGTTGTTAAACATAAATATGTAAGTCAAGGAGTACGTATTAATTTTGCTATACAGGGAGCCAAACAAAGAATCCAAACACAACGGAAGGAAGGAAGAAAGCAAGGAGGGAAGGAAAGAAGGAAGGAAGGGAGGGAGGGAGGGAGGGAGGGAGGGAGGGAGGGAGGGAGGGAGGGAGGGCCAGCCTATATTATTTTAGATGATATGCTGGAGCTTCTGTTCTGATTCACTGAATGTTAGTGGTAAAAAAAAAATCCAAGTTAAAAACTGCATTCTAATTTATGAAGGATTGTCTTAAAAGGAAATGGCTATTTGGTCTTTGTATCCAGTCACTGGTTTATTTGATAGCAATTCTGCAATCATTCCACAGAAACCCTTCCATTTATAGAATTCTAATATACTAAGAATAAAAAAATACCATGCAGTTCACAATATATCCTAACTCTCTAATTATTCTAAGGTCACATTTTGTTTTTATATTCTGATAGACCATGGGGACTCCTACCCATTTGATGGGCCACGAGGGACCTTGGCACATGCTTTTGCACCTGGGGAAGGTCTAGGTGGAGACACTCATTTTGACAATGCAGAGAAGTGGACGATGGGGATGAATGGTAGGCATAAAACTATACCCTAACCTGAAAATATTTTAAAAAGGCAATATGTTCAAAACCAAACCTCTGTATAAATAAATACACAAGCAACCATAAATAAACTGAAAAAAGGATTCATCTTGGTCCTTTAGTAACTTGAAAATCACTATATTTTGCAATGCACAAGGTTTAGTTCAACAATAAAGTTTGCTTTTCAGTAGATCCAATACAGATCTTCCTTGATTTCTGGATTCTTTCCAAATAGATCAGGGCTATCAGTTGTTTATAGGTTAATGGGGTTTAACAATCCTCTTAACATATGGCTTGTACTTCATGCATATAAAGTCTCAAGAACTACATTTTATGGGGGGGAACAGCTAAATTACATGAACATTGACTTAAGGGGTCCTTGGTGCTCTCTGAGCTTGGTTGTTTTCTTGCAGACATTTTATTATCCAAACTAGATGACATCCAAGCTCAGAGAGCATCAAGGACCCCTCATTTCAACCCTGAGTTGCAAATATTCCTTTTTATTGGAAACATTAACTTACAAAGCTTAATTTTGCAACAGTCCAGAATATAAATATCCTTCTTAGTTTCTTTTTCAAAGATTGAGAAATTCCTGCAAAAATAGCATGGAATTTTATTCTCTTTTATAAATTTGAAGTCTTAAATTGCTGTTGTTGTTGACAGTCAATCATGCTAAGCATGGAAAGAAAGTACTAAATGAAAAGTAATTAATTCAGTTGTTCCAAAAAAAGGGGAAATATCTGTTTTCATATTTACTATACAGTCCAGCATCCACCTCTGCTTGTACAATGTCATCATATTCAAACTGTTTTGCTTTATCATACATACAGTATACTGCAGAATATTGCTTTCAGCTCTATTGTAGCTGAAAATTGTATCACCAGACTATTATCGGACAATAAAGTTATGACTTTTGGCCTTTAGCACTTAATTCAAGTGATCCCTAGTTATCATCACAATCAATAGCAAGGAATCCAATAAACCTATAGATATCACTAATATTAACATCATATTTTTATTATATAGGATTCAACTTATTCACTGTTGCTGCTCATGAATTTGGACACGCACTGGGTCTTGCCCATTCTACTGATCCATCGTCTTTGATGTATCCAACCTACAAATATCAGCATCCCTTTGGTTTCCGACTCCCAAAAGATGATGTGAAAGGGATTCAGGCATTATATGGTAGTTCACATTGCTTTAAAAAAAAAGTTTACCTCTTAATATTTTAAATTCTTTAGATTTAATTTATTTACTTCCTTAAAACTAGTCCTTCTTTTTTTAGTAACTCATGCAAAACATTTGCGTTCTTCATTTATGCAGTGCTATTTCCATTTTATAAAGTAGGACATATTAATATTAGTTGAAATAAATTTCTAATCTGGCTATGATTAATACTTACTAATGATTACCAGATGTCATTATACTAAACTTTAGAAGAGAATATTTTTAATTCAAGGTTGAACTGTGGGGAACCTTGGGCTGTTGTTTACTGTTAGCTTGTTTGTCTGAATACCATAAACAACAGCTTAATCAAGGAATCACCACTCTCACCAATACTGACAGGGCAAGCCAAAAATATATAAAATGAGAGCATACCCCATTCCCCACTAGCACTAATGATGTTACCTAGTTTGGTAATGAAATTTTTGGAAGAAAACAACCAAGCTCTGGGAGCACCAATGACTCCATACTAAATTATGGCTGTTGAGGAACCACAACTGGCTGAGTTCAACCAACTTTCTAGCTCAAATTCAGCCACATTAAGATTTCTTTTGGGGGTGTATAGACATAGATGCATTTATTAACCACCCTATGCTAAACAGTCATTCAAGTTCTTCTCCAGCCCACATTTTTTACTTTTATTATGAGGTGATTTGGGAAAATGGACAGAACATTTTTGTTTCATTTTAATTTCCCCATAAGTTTGGGGAAAGATTCTCTATTATGGTCTAAACTTTATTTTTTTCCCCTTCTTACATGATTCATGTTTTAAAATGGTGAGAAACTCTGCTATCAGATTTTCAGCAATTGTATCAAAGGGGCTTCAGATATTACAAAGGTCCCCAGACACATCTGGAAGGTATGGTTAAAGATAAAGATGATGGCCACTGACCGTATGATTGAAACTACCTGTTTTTTATGTGTGCCATGGGCAAACCTTTGATCATATCATCATGGCCGCCATCTTGACTTTCTTTACTATAACTCCATGACACCGAACCACAGTTCTGGGGGTGCAGATTATGTATAACTACTGCAGAGCTCATGTTAAAACACTATTTTCATTTTTTTCCGCTCTCCTAAAAATAGTGTTAACAATTAATATCCCTTATCAATGTATACATTTTGCCACACATTCTGCAACTGAAGAAAATTGGTTTAGCTTGAAATATATTTCAGTCTATTTTAATGGAACTGGTTTTTTTTAAATTAGAACTATTCAGAAGTAATACTAAAGGATCAAATTATATATATATATATATGTTTTCTGAGGTTTTCGCGGGTGTTTGTATGTAGGTCTTTGGTTGTTCGGGTTTTCTCCCGTGTAAAATTGGAAGTGTCTTGGCGACGTTTTGACGAAGTCCCATTCGTCATCTTCAGGCTGGTGTTTTCAACTTCGTGCTTCGAGCAACAAATATATATATCTTTCTATCTATCCCTCCATCTATCTAATTTTGGAGGATTGCAAATGTGAATGTGTAAATAATACAATATATCAGCCACATACAATGAGTTTTCACTCCTAATTCAAAGAGAATCATCTTCTAGGGCCACGGGAATTTGGATCCCGAAAGCCTCCGGTTTCACGTCAACCTTTTTCCAACCTACCAACACCATACAATCCAGATCATTGTGACTCCAAATTTTCATTTGATGCTGTAACAATGCTGGGGAAAGAGTTACTTTTCTTCAAAGACAGGTAAGATTCTTTCTTTATCCAGTGCCCAGTGACAGTAGACTATTACGTTTTATTTTCTAGAAGAGTAATATGGTCCTGGTTTGTTTTGGTTTTTGGAAGGCCAGTTTTTAGCTATATGAACCAAATATGGCCAGTTTTCCCTTTTTGGGAATGAAAGCAACATCCCCCTTGACAAGATTGTTTCACATACAACTCTTGGTTCTGAAAAACCCACCTAAAAATCCCCTTTCTGCTTCCTGCTCTGGAATGACTCAACAATTTGCCATTAGGCATGACTTCTATTGTGTCTGGCAGAGAAAAAGGGAGAGAGATACAATGACTCACATGAAGTGTTAAAAGATTTATTTTCTGTGCTGTCTATTCTCACAGTTTTAGGCAGCTTAAATAAAACATCAATAAAATACAAAATCAAGCCCTTAAAAAACAATCAATGCTATTAATAACAACTGTAACTAAAAACTGTTGTGACAGAATGTCCCCCCTGAAGAGTACTGTTTTCAGCATATGTATCTTATGGGGGTAAACTGATCCAGAGGGGGGGACTATTGCTGAGAATATCATTCTCTGGGTCTCAACCCTCTGGCCTCTGTCAGGCTGGATCCTGCAGCATCCTCTTCTTATTAGATTGTGTAAGGCAGGTAGATTCTACCTGAAGAAGACAATTCATAGAGGTGTTTATAGGTAAGCAGAAAATGGCTCAGAAGTCTACTATCATTCAAGGCAGGGTCCTGCAGGACAAGTGTCATTCAATTGGGTCGGCACATTCTAGGCCTTCTGCAGTTTTTGTGACATGTTCAAGGGCAGTTCTGCATGAGGCAAATTTCTTAATGAGAGGGTACAAGAGTATGAATTTTTGTCTTTGGTGTCTCTGGTCCAACAAAATGGTCAGTTTCTAGATGATGCCGTGATCATTTTTTGTATGTAGAAATGTGGATGGATGAGTATGGTGTAGCACTAGGAAAATAAAGAGAAAGCAATCCACCTCCATTTATCTCTGAATTTCAATAAAGAACTTGGGAGGGAGGAGCAAGGAAATTACTTTTACAGGTAGTCCTCAACCTACACTCACAACAGAGCCCAAAATTTCTGTTGCTAAGTGAATGGGTGTGGAGCCTTTTTGGAACTGTTGAAAGGGACTCTGTTGTAGACTGAAGATAGATGATGTTGACTCTCTAAAAGAATACAAATGACCAACTGTCTGCAAGCAGTATAAATCCTTCCATTTCCCCACTATCCAGTCAGAGCTAAAGAAGCTTCTTGGATGAGAAGTGAAATATCTTCAAAGAAAAAACAAGAAAGTCCAGTTGCCTCATGAAAAAAGCATCTTTGGGATAACTATGACCTGGATGACCTGGATAGACATTTAGTGATACCAGTAAATAGAAATCCTAAGTATTGCATGAATTTATCAGTCCTTCAAAATAAAGGGTAGGCAATACATTGCTTATGAACACCACATCCTCCCAGATACTTCACTTCCCAACTTCTTATTTTTCCTTGATTTTTAATAGATATGGGGATGGATGTTGACCCCATGCAGTTTCCTTAATAACATTTTTAGAAGTGGTTTTCCATTGCCGCCTCCTTTCTCATGCTGACTCAGAATGACTGGCCCAAAGTAACCCACTAGCTTTGTGCATAAAGTAGACGTAGAATTCTGGTTTCAATGCCACACATACTGTATGTACAAAGGGGGGCAGAGCTTGGAATGCATGATTGCATCTATCACATTGGCCTTTTGGCTTTTCTTTGGATGTCTCTAATTTGCATGTTGGTTAGCTAGGTAGTAAATGTGTACCTTTTGATTGATCAAGCTCAACATAGCACCTATTTTATGAATAAGCAAGCTTCCCGTAAAGTTATTTTGCAAGCTCATTACCATGTGCTCTCAAAAGTCCCAGGGTATGTTTGCTGTGCAGTAAGCCTCCCCTTTTCTTCTCTTTATAGGTACTTCTGGAGAAGGCAGGCTCAACTCACAAGCCACGTGCAACCACTCAGCATTACCAGCTCTTTCCCTCAGCTCATGTCAAATGTGGATGCGGCCTACGAAATAGCTGAGAGAGGAATTGCTTTTTTTTTCAAGGGTTGGTCAGTTTTGAAAACATTTGTTGTTTTTGTTGGCGTTGTTTTCTTAGGAAACTAGATCTGTGAATGTGTACTCATCATTTGTATAATGGTAACCTTTAACCAAGGTTCTAGTTTACCTTAAAATCAGTCTTGTGTGAAAGACTGCTATTACTGTGTTTCTGCCCCATATAATTATTGGGTCTGTACCAGCAGCACAGTAGAGGCAGAGAAAAAAAGAAAATTTCTACTAGCAGTTGCTGTTTTTCAATCACAAGCAGGAGGCATAACATTTCCTTGATGGATTATGTTCAACTTAGTCAATCATATAACACCACATAATTTTGAAGGAGATTCTGGAGAAAAAGTGTCAATAACAATGAAGACTGCTGTTTTGCAGCAATCAACACTCAGATTAACACCAAGATTAACTCTAGAGCAGTGGTTCTCAACCTTTTTATACCGTCGACCCCGGTCATAAGGACGCGCCCCATGCGTGGCACGCATGTGCGGCGGCGCATGCGTGGTGCTGCCCCATGTGCCGCCCCATGCACAGCACACATTCGTGGTGTGGCGCACATGCGCGGTGCCGCCAGCTGAGAAAAAACTGGTGGATCGCGTTTTTGGCGACCTCCGTGAAATGGTCGTTTGACCCCAAATGGGGTCGCGACCCACAGGTTGAGAACCACTGCTCTAGAGTGTTAAGAGTATTAACTAGCAAGTCTTTCCCAAGGACTTGGGCTAGGCAGATGTTGTGGATTGATGATATTAAAGGTATCATTGAAAAATGTAAGCAGCTCCAAATAAAGCTGCCTTTTGTAATTGATATTATAGTACTATTAATAATTATTGTTAGTCACTTGTGCATCATTATTTGAAGTTGCTTAGTGTGAGAATTGCAAAAATAAAAACTGCTGCCTAGAAGAGGAGGTTGCCACCAACATCTACACCAATGACACTTTCAGGTATTAAAACTAGAGTAGCAATTGGGCCATTTGGTGTAGATGTTGGTGGCAGCTTCCTCTTCTAGGCTGCAGTTTTTATTTTTACATCTCTCCCACTAAGCAACTTCAAATAATGATGCATCTTTCATAGTCCATGAAGTTTTGTTCAGACTGAGTCAGAAATTGTGAAAACCAAATAAGAACAGGTGATCACACAGGTTTGAACTGATTCCAGAGCATTGAAAAGACTTTGTGTGGAAGTACCCAAGGATATCCTATTAAAATTGGAAATTCAAATTACAAGTGCAAGGTTATGTAGGCTCACTATATCTATTTATTTATTCTTTGCCAGGTCCTCATTATTGGACAACGCATGGTTTCCACATGCAGGGCCCTCCTCGATCTATTGCAGATTTTGGATTTCCTAAAAATGTGCTACACATAGATGCGGCTGTCTACCTGAGAGATGAAAAAAATACCTTCTTCTTTGTAGAAGACGAATTTTACAGGTTTATTGTCTCCTCATAATGTAGGCTTTAAATAATCAGTCATGAAATTTCATTCCTTAGTGCTGAACAAGAGACCAAGGGGGAAAATATTGTCTTGTTCATAATACTGGAATATTGCCACAGCCAGTAAAAGAGATATCCTGCATCTATTTAGCCAACATATAGAAAGGTGTGATTGTACCCTTAATTACATAACTTTTACATTTTTCATTGTGATTGCATTGTTTCCTTCCTGACATGCCTTGAAATTTCTTCTTTCTTTATCGGTTTACAAATGGGAAAGTTACATAAAAGTCAAATACAGATTTCCTTAACATGAATCAGATTGAAACTGGATTTTTCCTGGATTATTTATTTACAAATGGGCAATCCACTTTCTCCTGTTTTCATTTCTTGCCAGGAAATATGGCAAGATAGCATAGGAGCATGATTTTAATTGGTGAGATTTTCATTCAGTAGCATTTAAAATCTTGGCCCTAATAAGCAAATATTGAGGTACATATTCATATCCTTTTGCAAGTCATATATATCTTCCACATTAATTAAAGATGCTGCACAAAGTAATGGACATGTGATGCCATAAATGGACAAATACAGGGCACCACATATCTAAATAAGATTAGTGAAAATAGAATTAAGATATTTGCAACTCAGAAAGATAAATATTTCCTTCACATACACATACATATTTGCTATAATTTTCTGCTTGGAGATATAGTGATGACCATTGATTTCGATGCTATTGTCAAGAGTTGTACAGCATTTGGATTCAAGTGTATATATTTAAGAAAAAAAGGCAAAGACGTGGTTAGAAAAAGGACTTACTGTAGTTAAACCCTGTGATATTATAGCAAAATAAATTTCCAACTTCACCTCAACTCTTATGTAACACTTTTTTTTAAAACACTACATCTATACATACACTACATCTTTATAATGTTCCTTTTTTTCAAGCTATGATGAAACAAAACGGAAGATGAACGAAGAATTCCCAAAGAGCATTGAGGATGAATTTTCAGGAATTAATGGTCGAATAGATGCTGCTGTAGAAGTAAATGGTAAGTATTTTATCTATCGTGTGATTTGTTTCAAGCAAGTTTTAAAAACATTCTTGTTAAAACCTCTTGCCATTTAATTTTTCTGGATGTTTTTCATGACATCTCTGTTTTTGATTTTTGAATCATTCTTTAGTTATCACATTTACTCTAAAGTATGTATTTTCCTCATCCTCCTTTTATTCATGATATGATGCTGTAGAGCAGGGGTTCTCAACCTTGGCAACTTTAAGACTTGTGGACTTCAACTCCCAGAATTCCTCAGCCAGCTTCTGGAAGTTGAAGTCCACAAGTCTTAAAGTTGCCAAGGTTGAGAACCCCTGCTGTAGAGTAAGTAGGCCAACAGGCCAAACTCAATGAATTAGTTATTTGACCAGGGATGGGGGAGGAGGACTTAAAAATGGATTTCCTACTTCCAAGGCAATATTCTGGTTCTTGTCTAATGTTGGGACAGTCCAAGAACTGCCCATGCTAGTTGGGATTGATTGATTGACTTACAAAGACCTACAGTTAAACAAACAGCAACCTATTGTATCTGGAAAGAGAAAGAGAGAGAAAGAGAATGAGAAATGTACCACTAACCAACACAACAAAATATTCAAAACAAGACAAAAATGAAACAAAGCAAAACAAGGGGACTCCAAAATCACTTTGTTCTGGGAGAACAACCACTTCTTCAGTGGTTTTCCAAATGATATATTCTAGAACTCACTGTCCCAACACAACTGACCTTCCATCGAAGAAGGCTGATGTAGCCATTATGCAACATTGGCACTTTTTATGGAACAGCAATAAGTGCCTTTAATACAATTACATGCTTTTGGTTTGTGGCTTATATTCATTTATAATTTAAAAAATAACTAAATAGAGTTGTAGATAGAAATATCATGGGCCAGTGTTGTATAATCTATGCTAGATTGACTATATTATCCTAATAATGATAGGCATTTTTTTTTAGTTCTTCACTTCCTTTTTTTTTTTCCTTTTTTAGGATTCATTTACTTCTTTTCAGGCCCCAAAGCCTATAAATATGACAGAAAAAAGGAAGATGTGGTTAACGTTGTGAAATCCAGCTCTTGGGTGGGCTGCTGAGGCTAAAACGGCCATCAGAGGATGACAAATGAGCTAGCCAATACAGAAGCCAAGGCAAGAATTGCAGTCCCCTTGGTTTTACATTCAGAAAAATGACTACAGAGCACCATGTTATAGCTCAAATCCAGTGAAGAAAAGAAAGCAAATGAAAATCAGCAATTCAAGAAACAAACATAATAGAATCTCAGTTACTTTGATAATCCCCAATTCACAGATGATATGAACTGCCCATATCATATGAATAAGTTATTAGAAACCCTTACCTGATAAATTCAGATAAGATGCAGAAATGATACCATCTGTATTCTCCTATTAGATGCCAGTCCCTTGTTTCTATGCCTCTTCTAAACAGCCCTACATGATTTTGTAGGGTTTTATCCATAATTCTTCATCAATGGCATATATTAATAGCACAATACTTCAGAGGATGTGATGTGAGTAGAAGACCATTTAGGGTTTGTGGCAGAAGTAAGAGTAAGGGACAGTAGTAACAACAGTCCTCAAATGTCTGACAGTGGCCAAAAAAATTGTCCACCAGTTTCCAAAGCCTCTTAAATCTTCCCCAATTCATGTTTCTCTTTTCGTTTCTTTCTTTCTCTCTTTGAGTCAATTTTTGACTGTTGGCAACTGCTTGGACAAATCGTTGCAGTTTTCTTGGCAAGATTTCAAAGTAGTCTGCCATTGTCTTTTTCCTAGGGCTGATACAATGGCGGGCCCAAGTTCACCCAGCTGGCTTCATGCCTCGGGTAGGACTAGAACACATGATCTCCTGATTTCTAGCCTGATGCCTTAACCACTAACCAAACTGGCTCTTCCCCAGTTCATTACCTATAAGAAAATTGTAAATCCTCTGTAGTGGCTGTAAGTATTTCTCAAGACAACCTATCGTGTTGTCAGTTTGCTAATTAAATAATTATTTTTTAATCAGAGGGGCTATGCTCGTCTCCTAAGAAGATTGTAAGCTCCCTGATTCTAACAGAATATTATGTAGAAAAAATACAATTTCTTGTCTGGAGCCAATCTACTTGCTTGCCTTTGTGTATAATGAGATGTAAACCCCTCCAGTGGTGCTCTTTTTCCCTTCATGAGTAAAATAATATTAAAGAAGGATTATTTGTTGCAGGAAAGGGTTTGTGTGATTAACCTCAAGGCCTAATTCTGACATTTTTTCTGTTTTTGACAGATGTACATTTTGAGGCCCACCATAATTAGTCTACCTATCCAAAACTGGTACAAATTTCCAAACTAAGTCATGAATGTTTACAGAGTTGTCCACAGGGGGAATGTCAAACAATTCAATGAAATCAAAGCATCACTTTTTATATGTGGTTTAAAGTATGTAAGAATTTAATCCTTACTATTTAATCCTTATTATTGCTCTCAAATTATGGAACAGGGAATAACAAAAATGGAAGAGACTTTG